CACACACACACAGTCACACACACACAGTCACACACACACACACACAGGCGTGCTGGTCCCGGATGGATTTTGGGCCTCCCCTCATCCCCAATCCCGTAGCTCCTGCCTCAGTTTCCCTGTAGGGATCCCCGAGGGCTCCAGGCCGGGTGCTGGGCCCAGGGGTGCTCCCCCCAGGCACGCTGGGGACACGTGTGGGGTCACCCCCCGTGCCTCAGTTTCCCCCCGGTGCTGGGTCTGGGGGCAGCGGTGGGGCCGGGGGTGCTGCAGCCCCTTCTCCCCCGGGCTCCCCGAGGACACTCCAAAGCCGGAGACCACCAGTGCCCGTCCTGCCACCCCGGCAAACTTTTGGGATGGAAAAACCCATTCTGGTGGCGGCGAGCTGAGCCCGGCCCCGCTCATGGCACGGGTGGGCAGAGCCCCGCCGGCCGCTCCTCCCGGCCGGAGCCCGCTGACACCGGGGCTGCGTGAGGTTGCCCTGACCCGGGAGGGTGACACGGGTGACAGCCACCTCTCGGGCCCCCCGCGCCACCAGCCACTGTCATATTATGACAACGGGGAGGGGGGTCACCCCGCCACGCCGGGGAGGGGGGGGTCCGGCCCCCCGCCACCACCGCCGGTCCCTGCTGTGTCATATTGGCACAACCGGGGGCCCGGGACCCCCGCACACCTCCCCTTCCAGCTTTCCTTCATCCCCTCCTCCTCCTCCTCCTGCTCCTCATCCATCCATCCATCCGCATCCCGCTCACCCTCAGCCTCCCCACGGCGCCGGGGGACGCGCTCCCCGACTCCTCCGCAGCCGCATCCCGCGGGATGGACTTCCCAGTTCCCCCAGTCCCCCTCACCCCACATTCCCATGGGATGCCTCCCTCATCCCCCCCGACCACCCAGCCCTTGCAGCCCCATCCTCGACCCCCCCCCCAGCCCTCCCCAGCCCTCCCGCAGCCCCCCAAACCCGCTCACCCTCCAGTTCATCCTCGGGGATCTCCACGGGGCGCTGCTCGGCGAGGATGTTGGGGACGGTGTAGATCCCCCGGTACATCAACGCCGCCGTCACCGGGTGGAAAGGCATCTTCGGGGCTCCCCAAAACCCAAAGTTTAAACCCAAATCTCCTCGGGTAGAGTGGCGGGGGGTCCCCCCGGTCGGTACCGCCGGACGCTGAACACAAGTTGCCGGCACCCGCCGCCCCCCGCCCGGTACCCACCGGCCAGGGGGGGCCGCTCCCCGTCCTCGGGGGCCGGCGGCGGGACGGGGCTGGCGGCGGAGCCCCTCACCGTGCGGTCAGGGCGCGGGGGGGCTCCGCTGGGGGCGGCCCGCTGCCCCCGCGCACATGCCCTCCCGAAGTGGAGACGGGAGGTGAAAGCATCCAAACCCCGGTTAAATCCCGGTGGAAGCGGCGGCGGCGGCGGCGGGGGGGACGGGGCTGGCCATGCCGCTCGGGGCCCCCCCTCCGCCCAGGCCCCCCCCCCCCCCCGCCCGCCTGAGCCCCCCCCTCGGCCGGCCCCGGGCCGCTCACAGCCCCCGGGGGGCCGCTGCCACCGGGCCACGCTCCCCGGTGGGGCCCGGCATGGCGGGGCCGAGGATGAAGGCGGCCTCTTCGTCTTCCTCCTCCCTCCTCCTCCTCCTCTCCGTCCTCCCCGCCAAGTGTCCCGGGCAGGCCGGGGTTCGCAGCCGCCGCGGTTCAGCCCCCGCCGCGCCCCCGCCGCCCCCCCCCGCGCCGCCGGCAGCCGGAGCATCCTCGGCCCCGGCCCCGGGAAGCGGCGGCGGAATCCGGGGAGCGGCGGCGCCGGGCGGGTTTTGAACGGTCCCGCCCGGGAAATGGGGCTGGGGGCGGGGGGAGGTGGGGCCTCCCCCGGAGGGGGGGCGGTGAGGGGGGGGGCAGTGCGGCAGTGAGGGGGGCACGGCCACCCGGGAGCGTCCCGGGCCGCAGCCCACCCCGCAACCCTCCCCGGAGGGGGAGTGGGAGATGCTGGTGCCCCGGGTGGAGGCTCGGGGGTGCCGGGGGTCCCTGTGGCACCCCCTGTCCCCGCAGGTGTCACCCCGCGGGCCCCACATGCGGCAGCCCATGCCCGGGCAGTTGTCACCCTGAGGTCCCTCCACATGGCACCTCATGCCCGGGCAGTCACCCACGAGGTCCCCACACATCACCCCAGGCTGTCACTACCCCCAGGTCCCTGCACATGTCACCCCGTACCCCAGGCAGTTGTCATCCCAAGGTCCTCCCATTGTCACCACCCCGAGGTCCCTGCTCCAGGGGCAGTCACCATCCCAGAGTCCCGACAGGTTCCTGGGGCTGTCACCATCCCAAGGTGCCATCACCTGCCCATGGCACCCCACACCCAGACAGCTGCCACCCCGAGGTCCCAACACATGGACCCTGTTCCTGGGGAATGTCACCACCCCAGGCTGTCACCACCCTTAGGTCCCTGCACGTGGCACCCCCTGCCTGGACAGTTGTCACCCCAGTGTCCCCACAATTGGCATCCCGGGCTGTCCCACCACAAAGACCCTGCACATACCACCCTGAGGCACTGTCACCCCGAGGTCCCCAGGGGGCTGTGGGGTGACAGGGACCCCACAGCCGGACCTGCTGCTTTCACACCACGGGAAAAATGAGCCATGGAAGGGGCAGGAAGGGGGACCGAGAGCAAAGCCCTCTATCCTTGTCCCCTTTTCCAGTTGCCCCCCACTTCCCCCCAGCCTTGATCCCATTTTCCACCTCATTTCTCAGTCTGACAGTGATTAATCCCAGTTGGGCTGATGCACCAGGGCAGGTCCCCACTGGGCCATGTCCCCATGGTGTCTGTGTCCCTGTGACACCCACCTGTGCCCCAGTACATGGGAAGGGATGCTCCCAGGACCTGGCACATCCCCCCTCCCAAATCCTGATGTCCACCCTTCCCGGGTGGGGCTGTCCCAGCAGACCCCAACCCCCTGGGACATTGGGGGTCATGGTGTCCCCCGTGCCAGGGTGGCACCTCTGGAAGTGGTGACAGTGGCACGGGGAGGCTGCAAAGGCCCCTTCAGAGGTGGGAGGGAAGGCTGGGGGCAGGAAGGACACCATTCCCAGAGCCCTAAGGGAATGAGGGAATGAGAAAAGGGGAACAGTCGGCACCTCCCGGGAGCTCATCGGACACCAGGGATGCTCCAGGGGGAGACCGAGGCACGGCTGGGCCCGCTCCAGATGTGCCGCTCGTGTTGGCACTGCCACAAGAACGCCCGGAATCATGGAATGGGGCTCCTGCTGCTCCAACCAAGTCCTTCACTGAACGCCCCCTGCCTCCCGCAGCCGCCCCGGACACGTGCTCGGCCCCATCCCAACCAACGCTGCCGGGAATTTTCGGGCAGCTCCAACCTCCCTGCGCTGCCCCTTCCAGCTCCCGCCGGAGCAGCGGCCGGGACCCCGCTCCGGGGCTCCCCAGATCCCACCTCTGCTTCAAGGCAGCGCTGCCGCTGCGGCCGCCGCTGGATTTAACCAGCTGGGGTCCCCTTTAAGCCATTTTTTGATCGGGAGAAATTTCCCTCTCCGGCCGCGCTCCGGAGAGGGGGATTTCAGGGATCAGCAATTCCCGGTGCTGCGGGGTCTCAGCTCCCAGGGCAGGGTCCTTCCTCCCTGGGGGTCGTGGCTTGGGGGTGGATTTTTCCGACTTTGCTAAAATTCCACCCTCCCCCGGAGCTCGGGATGGTGTCGGGGCACATGGATCTGTGTCCCAGGGGAATCTCCGGTGTCTAATACCGTGGTTGAGCTCCCAGCACTTGAGGGGGGAATGCTGAGAATAACAAGTGGCTTTTGGGGAGAAACAAACCCAAAAGGGCAAAGCCTGATTAAAAATCTCCTTCTTTTTTTTTAATTTGCTCCTCGATGTTAACGAAGTTCCCTCCCAATTAATTCTCTGGAGACCCCGGGGCGGAAACTCATTAATTTCTCACCGCCCAAATCCCAGCAGGAATAACACGGCCAATTTCTGGGCTTTTCCCCTCAAATCCCCACCGGAGCTCTCTGCGCAGCGACAGTGACCTGTGGGGCATCATTCCCTAAGGATGGGGGGGCAGCCGGTCATCCCGGCTCCTGCTCCCTGGGGATGGAGCGGGAGCAGGCGGCACGGGGAGGGGGGAGTGAGAATTAAATGGTTTAATTGCATCTGAATGCTTGATGAGGTTTTTGTTCATTAGGGATCACCGTCGGAGCGCTCCCCGCGCTTCCCCGGAGCCCAGCTCGGCCACAGCACTCTCTTCCTCGTGGGATGAAGGCTGGGACAACCCTCGTGGGATGAAGGCTGGGATAATCCCCCGTGCTGAATTCCCTCGCTGATTTTAGGGGGAGAGTCTCAGACCTCAGTCCTGAGATGGTGGGGTGGAGGCAGCAGCATCCCCAAATCCCAGGGATTTCAGCTTCAAATCCCAGCCACAGCCCGGGGATTTACCCCTTTCCCACACCGCTGGGATGTTGGGAATGTTCCTCTTCATAATTCCTCCATTATTTGTGGATCCTTTTCGCAATTCCCCCTTTACCCCCTCCGGGGCTCAGACCAGCCTTGCCAGCAGGTCAGTGCCACCTCCCCCTGCTGTCCCTTCGTCCCTTCAGTGACAGTGGCACCTTCCCGTCCCTTCAGTGACAGTGGCACCTTCCCGACACTCCCGGGTTCTTCCCTAATTAACTGATCCCACTAACGAGGTGGGAGAGGCGCGATCCAGGCCTGGCATTTTGTGTCCTGTCCGCAGCTGTGGGAGGATCTCGCTCTCAGGAGCGCTCACTCCGGGTTCAACATCAATGTCCTTGTTTTTCCAGGAATTTTGGGGGAAAGGAAAAGGACCTAAGTGGTGCTGGTACAGGGATGGGGCTGACTGAGCTTTAATTAACCTGCTCCTTGTTTATTCCCCCCTGGCTCCACATCCTCCTCTGCCCATGGAGGCTCCTGGGCTCTCTCCTGCCCTGAGGGATTAGGACTGGGGTGGGGATGGGATTGGGATAAAGTGGGAAGGGATGAGGATGAGGATGGGATGGGGTAGGCTGGGGATGAGGATTGGGATGGAGATGAGGATTAGGATGGGGACGAGGATTGAGATGAGATGAGGCTGGGATTGGGATGAGGTGGGGATGGGATGAGGATGAGGTGGAGATGGGATTGGGATGAGGTGGGGCTGGGATTGGGATGAGGTGGGGCTGGGATTGGGATGAGGTGGGATGGGCTGAGGTTGAGGATTGAGATGGGGGTGGGGTCTGTATGAGACAGGATGGGACGAGATGGGGTTGAAGATGGGGTGACAATGAGGATTGGAATGGGAATGGCATAAGGACAGGAATAGAGATGGGCTGAGGATGGGGAGTGGGTTGGAAATGGGATGGGATGCGATGTGGGTGAGGATGGGGATAGGGAACCCTCACAGGGATGGGGATGCCCCAAAGCCATGGGAAAGCTGACAAGGCTGGGGAAACCCGGCAGAGCTGAGGATGGTGCAAACCCGTGCTGGGTGCCATCAAATCCCCCCGGACAATCCCATGGATAACTCTCCCTGGGACAGTGTGGGGACGCTGGAATGGGGATGGGCAGTGCCACAGTGTCCTCCACACTGTCCCTCTGCTCACCGGGGCACCGGGAGGGACCGAGAGGGGTCCTGGGTCTCGTGGTGTCATTTTAAAGTCACTGCTGGCACCGAGCCCCGGAGGCGCCGGAGGCATCAATCTCCCGGGGCCGGCGCTGTCAGGCGGGTATTTAGTGGAATGTTTCCTAAATGAACGCTTGATGGGAGAAGAGGGATGGCTGCGACGTTCCGAGCCACAAGGTTATCCCAGCGGCCGCGCCGGCTGCCAGCTCCCAGTGCCCCCTGGAAACCCGGGAAGGGCAGCGGAGATAACCCCCGGGAAGGGCCCGGGAGCCGCATCCCAGCGCGGCCGGGACCGTTCCCACGCTGGGATGGATTTCAGGGGAAATGCCGGGCAAAGCTCCAGGCAGGAGGGGAGGGAGGGGAGAATGGGGAAGGCTCGGAGGGCTCAGTTTAATTTGGGTTCTGAAGGGGGGGGAATATCCCCTCTGAGGGAGGAGGTAGGAATTCTGCTGAGGGGGGATTTTTCTGTATGGAAAATAGGAGGAATTGAGATGAGCCTGTTCTTAACATCCCTCCGAGTGGATGTGGCCCAGGATGGTGAGGGCAGAGGTGACTCCTCTTGTTCCCACCAGGAGAGACAACTCCCAGAGACCTCAGGGAAAGACCTTTGCAAACTTATTAACTGAAAAAAGGAGACTCATGGACAGCACAGCCTGCCCAGGAAGGAGTGCTGGAGCACGGGTGGGATCTGACTTTCCCAAAGGGAAAGGTGATGGCTCCTGCAAGGAGTTTTGCCTCTGGGACAGGGCTGGGCCAGTCCAGGCTCTGCTCCCACCCTGCTGCTGGTGCACAGTGACAAGTGGTGACATCAGCTCCATCTTTCCAGGGTTCTGTGACCCGTGGCAGTGGGATGCCCTTTGATGTCAGGATC